TTAGCTACTAGTCAATATTCGTTAATTGTCTAAGTAGTTTGGTAAGTAGACATGCTAAGTTAGTATTGTTGGTAACATTTACAATCATTTTAATAAATTTCAGTTATTTAATTTCGATAACGAAATTCACGTTCGCTAGGTATTTTCAATAGTTGTTTCATTGGTTTGTCTGCTACGCTATTAGTTGGCTAATGGTTTGTGGAGGGAAGTAATTTCCTTGTTAAGTTAACTGGGTAATTTTTTGTTCTATTAATAAACAATTCTGGATCACGTTTTAGTGGTAATCATCAGGTAATTCAGTCAGCTGTCATTCATTTTGAGTTGCCAGGTAGTTGCTTAAATTACTGGACTACCTAAATTGCCATACGATATACTGCTGTATAAACCTTACTCCATTTTTTATTGTTTTAATCGTCTAACTGTGTTTTTGGATTGCTACATGAACTCACACAGTTTTAGTTTGCTGTAATGCAGAGCAATTCTCAACAAAAATGAGGAAAAAGTATCGTATAGATTTGGATATTGCTTCAGATGGAACAACACAACGTCACACAATATACTGCCGAATACCAGTTTCCTTGAAGATCCTGTACAAAGAGTAGATATTTTGCAGTTTAAATACGCTGAAAATTCTGTACCATGTGTTGCCATACTGTCTAGAATAAACCTATTATTATTAATATTAGTGTGCAGTGCATATTTTATTTTGAACTGAATGTAAGCTGTTTGAAATATAAAAAAGCTACCTTGTGATTAGGCTGTATGTTAGGCATTATTGTACGTATTAATTGTAAGGCATTGGCTCTTAAAAGAAAACTAAGCGTCAGAATAAAAAGCAGACTTTAAAGAAAACTTTTCGTAGCCAAAGTATAGGATCTTTAAAATAATTAATATTTGACTCACAAAATAAGGGTTTTAGTCATTATGCTATATACTACTGACTGGAGAACTAGTAACTGGACACTGTTCAAATCAATTAGTAGTGCTAAGTAGCCAGATCGAAGTGACTGAAACACCGGACTGTCGTTTCTCTCATTTGGGGCCGTGAACATCATCGGGTTATCCGTTACGACTCAGCTCAGAGCACCGTATCACTTAAAGACCTGGCCTCTCCGAGCTGAGGATGTGCGGCGACTCTGCGTGTTCGACTATCGCTGTCTCCGCAGGATTGCTTGCGTTGGATTGCATCATCGCGTGAGTAATTCTGAGGTTCAGCGGCGTGTGTTTGAACACAGTGGAGATCAACGTTCGTTGAATGTTGTCATCTAGAAACACCGGCTTCGGTGGCTTGGACATGTGCTGCGAATGTCATCCCAGAGGCCTCCGTACAGGTCTCTGTTCGTTAGCCCTGGGACGGGATGGAAAAGGCGGAGAGGTCGTCAGGCCATGACGTGGCGTCATGGGATGAGGGATATTTGTGTTAGGTGAGCATCGGTTGGTGCGTCACGTCTCCCTGGTTCGAGTCCGAGAGATAGCCCAAATCGATGTCTCGAAACGTTATCGGATATGGCCAAGAATCGTAATCAATGGCGAACGTGCTGCAATTTCCTTCTTTCTTCCCTTTCCGACGATAATTGATGAATGTTGTTTTATTATTATTATGTGGCGCATCTTCTTGGTGCCATATTGTACCAAGTTTTTGTGAGTTTAAATAAAGACCCCTCGTATTCTCGATAGCTATTCAGGCGAATTGGTGATGCGTTAAATCCGATTTGCAAATTAATTGTCGATTTATAATTTACACAGTTCGACGTGAAATTTCAACACAGTTTCCTTTGGTTGATGTGAATGTTGTTCAACTAGTCATGTCGAATAATCAGCAGTACATAACAACATGCACTTATACTTGATCTCTTGATTGCTAATAATGGTATCTAGCAGATCGTATATTGTAGTCTGAATAATTTTGGTTTTCGAGAGGAACTTCGGTGAAATTTCACTTTTTCGAACTGTGTAAATTGCGAATTGGATTTTAGTCAGTATTCATGCAATATATCATACATAAAATGTAATTTTGAAATCCACGCTAGTGTGTGGTAGGAAACACCTCACAAATCTTTATATATCTGAAATTACAGGTTGACTGTCCATTTTCAATGTTCCAAAAGTATCTTCAGTCTTATGAAGAACATTATTTCATGAAAATTGCCTTATCAAACAGAGTGTATCTTTTTGAAGTTGTAAGCAAAAGATAAGCTAATATATATAGTCAACCTTATAGGACTTTCTAAAACACCTTGCATTGAGTGATATGGTTTATAGTTTTTATTGTAAATTGAAGTGTACCGTATCCCAGTAGAGCATATCCATATAGCATGAACATAAATTATAGTTAGTTATTCAGATGAATAGGTAAATTAATACAATCATTTATGCAGAAATAACAATAAGTCGTCTGTGTATCGTGTAGATCAAGTGTAAATTTGATAAAAATAGTACGCATCATTTGTATTCTTAAATATTTGGCCTGTTGTTGATAAAGTAAAAGCATATCTCTAAATTTTCATAAATACTAAGTGGTCATTCAGCGTAAACAAGTGATTATAGCTTAAATTATCATACAGAATAACAGATAATATTCTAAACGGATGATTAGTGAATTCAGAATTATTTACTCACACTAACACTCCAGCGGATTTCATCATGAACCACCCAACATCCGTTAGGAAATCACTAAAAAGTATGGATCACCAGTGAGTTGTTTTGTTACAGCCTGAGAAACTTCAATACCGGGCAACATCCTAGTGAAGGACTGAACAAATGACCGTCGAGGTATAAGAGGATCAGTGACTGAAGTGACTCTCAATAAGGTACCGATAAAGGCAGGAACTCAAAAGCCAGTGGATTCAACCTATGTTAATGAATGGTAAGGTGCTAGTCACTTCACGTTTCTTAATTTGATTTCTTCCAATACCATTAGTTTGAACTGCTGAATAATCAAAAACTAGCGCTAAGGAGCTGTTCAGTGCTCTTTAGTAATAAGTTGTTCTACAGCTTGTATAACTTCATGACGAAATTCATCTTTAAATCAGTAAAATCTTCACAATCCAAAAATATAAAACTCAATGCGCATACGCGAAACACTATTTAAACAGGGGAAAATTCTGACTTAAAATAGAATCTTGGAGCTCAAAATGACATAATAACTGTAATGATAAGCTGTAACTTCCTATGCATTTTCCCCACTATAAGTGTTTCACAGTCGCATTTAGTAGATTTAGCATGGTTATCATTTGCCTAAATACTTGCCATTATGATTTAAAACTAATAATTGAAAGATATTTTGAAACTAGCGAAGTCACCAAAAAGAAGTGTTAGAGGGAAAAATTTAAAAAATCTGTCCACCCAGTGAATCATGGAAGTAAATGCTTGAAATTGTGATAAGTTAGCGCATTGTCTTACCGCATTATCTTCTCTGATCATATAGGAAAAGGAAAGATAATATGAATTTGGCTTTACATTTACAGTTAATATTACTGACTGAAGATTTGAGTGGTGTTTTATTAGTTAGGAGTAATTAGAAAAATGGATTGGTTACAGGATTTCATCATGAGCTGACATCGGTTAGAGAACCATTGGAAAACCTGGGAGTATTGGACAGCTGTTCGTCAGTCTAGTCTGGGACTCTTCAGCAGTACGCACCCACCACCGGAGTTCGAACCCAGGACCTTCTGGTCACAAGGCTAGCGAGCTTGTAGACCATTAAGCCACTAGAACCCAATCCAATGACCCATGAATTCTAACTTCTGCCAATACTAGGACGAAACAGCTGTCCAGTACTCCCAGGTTTTCCAGTGGTTCTCTAACTGATGTCAGCTCATGATGAAATCCTGTAACCAATCAATCAAATCTCTACAAAACAATACTTGAAAAAAATGGATCATTTTCTGTGACAGATACTTGACGAATAAAACTCTGTTGACTAAAGGAAAATCTGTTAACTAAAACTGAAATTAAATTCAAGACCTCTTTTTGAAACTTTAACTTTATTATAGTATGTTTCCTCAAACAAGATAGTGTGATTACATCATTGTTGTCTTCACTAAGAACAAGATTTCGTCAGACTGACAGCTAATTCAGTAGTCTCCTCAGTTCTACATTTCAAGTCATTGGACATGAAAACGGCAAACAGTATTCTCTCAGTTATTTTACTTTTATTAAAATAATTAAGTGTTCACCTACTAGACAGAATTATCAACGTAAAACTTTATCCATAAGGTCAGTGGTTCAAGTTTCCATACTTAATAAATTCACGCATAAAGATAGGAAGATGGATTGCAAAGGAACCATAACAAATGAAAATATACGGGAGAAAGTATAATTACACGGACGACAATGAGAATTTTAGGGGTCTAAGAGATCATAAAGAGTTGGTACATCTGTACTACTGAAAACACTTCTGACCCATGTAACCATCAGTTTTCATCCAATGATTCTTAGTATCTCGAGGACCACAACCAGCCAGTCTACATCTCCCTACGTAACTCAGACCAACAGTCAAAGACTTCATGCACCGATGTTAGATTTGGATTTATTCACCCTTTTCAAATTCATTCATCTGTCAGTGAATATTACTCGACGAGGAAGACAATGGATCGGCATGAGTAATTCCTGTCCTAGCCATTTCAATAGATACAACTTCAACGCCTAATCAACTGACTTTCCATCCTTACCTAATGCTACATCTAACCTCACTGTTACTTCCCACATTATTTCACTTTTTTTCCAGAGATAGAATGAAAAACATTTATGGGTAAACACAACTAACCAATTTGTATCCCCCACATTCAACGGCTATGTCTAGTGGTCATAATGAAGGTCTAGGCAAACTGCTACTTAGTAATACATCGAAAATTAGAGACATCGCTTAAGTCAGTTAATCACGTTAGGTAAAAACAATACCCACTCAAATATTTTAGTTACGTATTTTTCTTTTTTGATAAGAGAGCTTAATTTGTTTTGTTTCAGTCAAAAAAAAACCGTTAGACACGTTAACTTACTTTACGTTTAGCACTGCCTTGTTTCTTCTGTTTTTCAGCCGTTTCTTGAGTTAACTCCCATTTATCATGTACATGTTCTATTACTCTTGGATCAGACCAGTTCAGTGCTACAACATATGGATTCTCACCTATAAAAATAAATTGCCATTTATTTTATTGTATTTATTTTCACTGAACACAATATACTTCGAAATTGCCAATTAGGTTTTGTTCTAGCTATCGATACAGAGTTCTCAAACATGATGATTTAAGTAGAAACAGTGACATCAATAATAAAAAAATGTGGACTAAAGACTTGTAGCGAAGCAACTTCGTGCTTCACAGACTGAACATCGACGCTTAGCTGCTAACTAGATATTGACTTTGCTTCATACAGACGGTCTATTCATTCATTTATCTGTTTCTCTCCCTCCACTATTCAGTTTCACTTGAATCCAATAAAATATTCCTTACTACATAGATAATTTGTCGGCAAGCCGAAAAGTATAAGTGACTAAACCACAGTGTAAGTTGATAAAAATAATTGTACGTAGCGTGAAGTGGGAAATTCTCGGACAACTAAGGTTAGTAACTCATTTAACAAAATCACAGATTTCCTGGTTCACTTCACCTCCTATCATTATTTCCATTTCAATAGAAGGAAAAAATCACATTATATATTATCGTTATTCAACAAATTTAACGTTTTCAACAGTTCTCCAGCCACTTTATAATACATTAAGTATAACTTTCCATTACCATAATCGAATATAATATTGCTTTAACCATTTAAATAAGTTTTAAAATAGCAGTCGGACCTATCGCTACACATGAACAAAATAGTTGAATCTAGATCAAGTGGAAGAATACCGGAAAGCTACTGATGCGTTTTCAATGATTCTTTTGTAACACTGCTTCATAATCCAGCTACATAATAAATCTGTTTTTGTGGTAAGCCGTTAATTTCAGAAGGCAACAGTCATTTAGAGGTTATGATTATGAAGCGAGAATTTCGGCGACATTTATTAGTCTAACACCTTGCAATAGCTCATTGAGTTATTGACCTATTGTCGGTGTAATGTAATATAATGTTGGGTTTTGTACCCGCCACCTATACTGCGGAAATTCTTAGTGATTAGGTTAAAGGTTCAGTCACATTCGTAAATTCAAATCAGTTATTATATTATGGTTTCTGTGGGGATTTTTTGATTTCACTATAAAATTTGTGAAAAAATTAACGACATTTGAAGAAGACCAAGAAAATCATACAATTAAAACAGTACAGATCCACGATCTTGTAGAAGATGGGTCTAGAACTATCAAGTTGGTTACTGTCAGGCAAAGTTCAACAATAGCGTCCCAAGGAATGCAAACGCACGGGTGACCTTCAGCCGACAAATCATAAAAATAAGTGACTTTTGCACAAAAGATGACGTATATTTACAAAGAAAATGCATGAAAACACATTAAACAGGTTATCTTTCTCTGATATGATTTAAAAATACATCCCAGTTATAATGAGAAGTATCAGTTGCTAAGTTAGACTAGTTTCTGTACATGTATTCACCGAGGTGACTAAAGACGAGCTGTTTTTGTGAATTGTTTACCTCTCTTATCTTGTTGTGCAGTCTTCCCCAAAAGCCCTCAGTTGAATTACTGCGGTTTGCAGTAAGAGGATCGACGACCACTTAGCAGGAAAATGTGGATAGTAAAACAAATTAAAATAAATGACATTAACTCTAAATCTATCCCTAATCGTATCCCAAACCTTAATCCTGAACCTAATGATAATGACAGGTGCCGTCAGCCAACGACTAGCATACATTCGAGGTCATTGGAGCGTTCTCACTCCTGGGACGCTATTGTTGAACTTCACCCATGACCATTGGGTTACTGGGCTAGCAGGTAACATATGATTATTCACTTTTATTTTAAGCAAAGAAATTCAGGCTTAGTTGTTTAGAACCTGGAAATAAAGCTGCGACTTCATCCACAGCTTTTATTCTCTCTTTTGACATTTGTCTAATGTTAGCGTCAGTCAACTCTCGTAACACAAGATGATCTCATTGATTTTCTAACAAAACATTCCCACTCACCTTTACGTGTTTCTACAAATAGCTTTGATCCTTTAGATAAGAAATAATCTACTACATTGAGTCTCGAGCACTCGATAGCGCGAAAGAGTGGTGTTGCACCATTCATTGCTTTAGCTTCGAGTATTGCACCATTATTCAGTAGTAATTCAACCATATCAATCATTCCTGAATGAGCTGCATGATGTAATGGTGTCCAACGGAAATTATCACGTGCATTTACGTCTGCTCTATAATAAAAAATTAATTTTATATCAAGAAATAATTTAGATTTATAAAAATATTTGTTTTCAAATTCTGCTTCCTGTGACTTTAAGTCTTTGATAAATTGACTCGTTATTATTTATTATTATTATTCATCAGACGGACAAAAGCTTACTGATACATCTAGTGTTGCTTTGCATAGATTTCGAAGGGTTACAAGTTTGATCATGAGTTGAAGAACTATTAGAAAGCCTAGAAGTATTGAACATCTGCTTCGTCCTGACTTGGGACTCTTCATCAGTACGCACCGGCTTGGGTTCTCTAACTGATATCAGCTAGTGATTGAACTTCTTACTGATATATATCATGAGATTATACCTTGAAGGTAATGATCAAAATAACTGATAGAGTAAAAATCGGTTTCAAAGATATTCTACACAATGTTTGCAAAATTTATATGAAACAACTGAAATCTGTTATAAATATTATCTAAACGTTCACTGAGAATAAATATATTGAGATCAAATCATATAAGAATCACCAGCTGTTTGGTGTTCCCTCAGCTTTGTTGTCTGATGATGAATTTATATCAGTTGATCAGATAACTTCATAACCACTTGTTTCATAAAGATATAGAGAGATTCTGAGTTATCTTAAGGTTCGTACAGAACACTTATAGACTTTATAAGTTATTGAATTGTAAATGAGATTGATTTACCTGTCAGATGTTGATCTTTCTGAACTTCACCCTTTTCAGTAAATATGAAGATAATTGGGTCTTTCTTTGTGAAGGTGTGACTTCTGTCATTTAGGTGATCCTCATTTTGTTAGACAGACTTCTAGTCAGTCTGTTGTCAACTGATTTTTATCCTAGTTACCCGTTGGTTTAGTCTTTGGCTGCATGTCAGTTGATTGATTTGATTAGTATGATTCCATGAATTTCGTAATGGCTTTTAGCTCTTACATTACAGTACTTTGACCCAAGCAACACTTATGGACATTTACTGAAATCAGTTAATTACAACTTGACGCAGACAGATTCTGTCAACTACCTGACAAATGGACGGATTAATAGTCATTGTAATGTATTGTGCAAATAAGATTCGTCTTGTTTTCAGGCTCTAGAACCTTAAGTTTGTACAACAGTGTTTTAAAGTGACCAGATTGTTTTATCTACCATCCCTAAGTTAAACTAACGGCGTATCTATGCAACAATTTCGTCTTGGAAATCGTCGAAAAGATACATTTACTCAAGTTCTTGTTTTTCCCTCTAATTTCGGAAACCTTGTTGACACATAACAAATTAACTTGTTTTGCTAACTAAGGTAGGTATATTTCAGGTATATTTACATGCAGGATTTATATGATATCTGTACTATATAAGTGCCCTTATTACATTTTCGTACAGTATATTTGCTTCGTGTATAATTCCTCAAAAAATAATCCATTTTCAATATAAACGAGTAATTTCAAACTATGCTTTTACAGGCTTTGGTATACATATTCAAATCAACTTATTTTAGTAATCAGTGATGTCATTACGAGTTTTCCAACAAGTACATGCATAATTATCATTCAACATTTTATTTGCCGTTTCATAACAATGAACACTGGTTAGGCTACACATTTTCTCTACTTTACTACACAATATTACTTATATCTCATTAAGTAGTCTGCTAATTTGTCATAAATAATTCAATTTCAATGCGTGACAATGACAGAAACCTGTAGACAAGATAAATACTTCTAAAATTTTTGACTTATTTTGAATAAATGGTCTAAATATGTAATGATCATTGTCATCTTAGATAACTTCAAAAAGTGGCTGAGATCTATCCTCCTTAGTCTGATCAGTCGGATTGTAAATAATCAATATTTCATTTGAATGTACTTCAATAATATCCCTAAGTTGATTCAAACAAATACACATACTTACCCTAGTTTAATAAGTTCAATAGCTGCATCTAAATTCCCATGATGAGCAGCAACCATTAAAGGTGTTTTGTAGAATTTATCTCTCGTATCAATATTATATCCTTCAGATAAAGCCAATCGAATAGAATCTATGTAAAAACAATGTAAATTAATTGACTGAAATAATAATAATGATAATAAAATTGTATGTAATAATGACAGAGTTTATAGAAACACTTTACATTTTAGTAGCTGGAAAACTCTGACTTCTTTTTGCTTATAAGTATTAGTATATAAAATTGAAAGCTGTCTTAGCATCATGACAGTGAAGTCTCCCAAGAGCAAGAATCGTATAAAGACGAATTTAACATGAAACAATGCTGCATCTATTATGCAGAGTTAGATATAGACAGAATGTACCATTTAAAAAGAAGGCGTAATCAAGTTCAGTCTTCGAATAAGTAAATCTCTGGTTTAAAGTCAGTCTACACGTACTTTGTCTGACCAGAACCCGTTAATGAAATCGCTATTTATAGAGTAAATTTGTGGTGAGAGCTGTCTGCAAGCCAAAATTGTAGACAACAATTTACGTCAATGTTCAAGTCCCGAATTAGGGTCATGAGAAAAACAATAACAAAGCTTAACCTTGAGAAAATCACCAGCCAATCACAGCGGAATTAAAGTGCGGAAATATGATTCACAGATGTATGACTTGATTTTTCGAGAAACGGCCACGAATAGATAACAGAATAACTTTCAGCAAGAAAACAACCAGTCAGAAGAGGTTGCTTCTCCGAACAATAACGCTAATAATAATGCACATAAAATCTATAAATACCTCTTGATTTTCTCAATAAACGATCTGTTGTCTAGCCCTTGTCTTCTGTCGTTACAAATTGAATGAATACTTAGGAAGACGATACACGAATACCTCCTTGTGAGATGACAGTATACTAAAAAACGATTTTATTGAGTACAGAACCTTCAGCTAAACAATTCCGCTAAAACAGTAAAAATGACTGAACTTCAGGTATCGTGATGCTGTAGTTTATTGATTTTAGAAAGTAATTTACAGACACTGTCATTATGAAGTTGAACACAATGCATAGTGTTACCTAGTGTTTTTAATAATCAAATCTTACATCGAAACCTTCGATGAATTGAAAAAGAAGGCATATGGACTTATTAGTGAGAGGTTTTCCTACTTGTTACCATTTTAAGTATATATATATATATATGGCTTTTAATGTCCTTACTGAATTGAATAATGATCAGTGCCATGGCACCAGTCAATAAAAGCAGAATGAAATTGCTTTGGACTCGAAATTTAGCCGAAAAAACATTGAATGAGGAGGTCTCCAAATGCATATTGATGAGAAGTATCACAAAGTCTCTCATACCACTAATCGATTATCGGTAACAACTAAATGAAGGAGTTCCTCATCACGCCTGTGTAATTAAGCAAACATACTTCAATTCAGACGTTTCAGTTTTACGTGGAAGTTAACAGGTTGATCATTGAGTAGAAATTCTGATTTTTTTTAAAATCATCTAAAGCAAAAATCCAATCGCTTACCCAAGTCATTATGTAAAGCTGCAGCATGAAAACTTATGTACTGACGTCTTGGTGTATCTAAATACCAAGCAGAATCATCTTGAAAAGGGTTTATGGGTGGATGATCAGCATCAAAACGACCTGAATAAATAAATGATTAAAACAAAATTATTACTTATTTTATTCTTATAAAATATTCCATGCAAACAGAGTCTGTTTTTAAATCTGTATCTTACTGCAGTGAATACGAATACTTCTGTTGACTTAAAATCACCATACAGTTGCTTGATTTCACGCAAATTAGACACTCACTTCAGTAATAGACTAAAATGTATAAACCAATATGAGAAATTACTAAGCATTTCTAAGTTTTTCATTCATTACAGAATATTCTCTGATTATTGATGTCAAATGTTTGACTTCTAAAAATATAATCAGAACTTATCAAATTCCTTATATAAAAAAATCTTTCACAAGGAATGTACTTTTATCTGAATGAAGAAGTGATCAAATGTTAAATATTTGACCTGAAACGTATAATTATTTTCCACTGGTTTCATATTATCCGAAGAAATGGAGACCTTGTCGAAGGCTTAATCAAACACTTTTTCTAGGAAACAATATCGGTTGTTATTCAAAGAGTGCCTGCCTCATCATATTTGTGACTGCCGAGTGAGACAGTATGTCAGTGCAAGTATTTTAAAATGAAATTAGTCACTCATCTGATTGTAGACATTCAGGTACATACTCTGAATGACAGTACTATCTATTAGCATGTGAGAAATTAAATTAAATCTACTACCTACATCAATTGATTACTTCAGTAAAATACGTAAACCGTGAATGCTTTAACGTCAACCAGAATTGGCGGAACTGTTATGTCTGCTCATAAAATATTACTGACCCCAAGCTATTAAAGATAGAAGATAGACCAGTTCGTACAAAAGCACTGTCAACATCTGAGAGTTAAGCCAACAAACAACCAGTTAAATAAGCTGTATACGCTTGGGCTTCTAGGTTGTCCAATCCAATCATAATTAATATTCTCTCTTAGCCCAATGGTTCAAATTTCCAGACTGGTTTAAGCCGACCTAAGCCTCTTTTAGGTGGTTTTAGAGAGTTCCAGTCTGAGATCAAATAAAAATCCCTTTTAGACATTGCAAATACAGTTTGAAGAGAATAAGATAAAAAGGTACTTTAGTTTATATAGTGATTTTATCTACCTTAAAAACAATAATTTTTATAAGGAAAGTCTTCAGAGTTGCAAAATGTCAATCTTGTAAATAATAGCCTACTTACTTATGTCGGTGTGGTGAATCTGTTTAGGGATGTACATGATAGGCGGTCCACCGTCAGCTCGTCGATAAATTGCCTCTGGGGGTAACATACAAATATCCATAGGTATTTTCCTACGTTTTCCACCTTAATTAAGGTATATGTATACAAAAAAAGAAACAAGAATGAAGGTGTTTTCATGAAGGAGTTTTATAAATCCACACTACACTTTTATTGTTACGTAAAAATTGAAAATTACTTGAAATGGATCTATGCTAACTACTCAGATATTGGTTCAGAATTTAATAGTTCGCGACCTCTAAATTATACTAGCATCACCGCGAAGTTTAAACATTTTATTGTAAATCAAATTTATTTTCTCAAAAATATACATAATCTACTAAGGCATATATGGGTTGATTCTTTTGATAAAGGTTAATTAATTGTAGCAATGACTTCCTTTTATGAGAAATCACAATTTTCGGGTCTACAATCAAGTTTTATCTTACCAAGAATAACTTTAGTGAATTTAAATTGAAGATGGATATACTTTAGCACCTTACAGAAACTTTCCACATATGTCCTAACACTGGTGAAGTTTTGTTTCAGTTCTACAGAAAGTGTGAGTTAGCTGACTCGAAATCTTTGAAATCTTAAGTTGTCGAAGTAGAAAACTTTGCTCTGCACAGTTCTGGGAACTATTCATCTAAAAATTCAGTGGAACAAACCAAAAAGCTATAATTCTAAATAAGTAGCTTACTGTACACGAGTTTTGAACTGTTGTGGGAGATTTTGTGGATTCTATTAAATAACCACTAACTAACCACCATTCAATAAGTGGTCTTCAGTACTAAAAAATGATTCACTTTCTGTGGTACCTAACGATATACTGTGCAATCTACAGGAAATCAAATGAAGAAGAATGTTGAAGATGGATAAAGGTCCCAATAAATAATAACATTATATGTCTTGAAGTTACTACAGTTATTTCTGTTTCCAATTTCATCGAACAGTAATCTTTCTACACTGAAAGCCTTACTTTTGAATACATCACTACTGCTACCATGCCATCAGCATACAACGCTAATGTTGCACAGACGCCAACAGTTAAAAGCTATAATCTCCTCCTTTCTTCTCACCATTGGTGACCATGCCTTTAAGACATGGTAAAGTAAAGTAATGCGGAGCAGACTACGAGTCAGCACATTCATTGTTTGATATTTAGGTGTAGATTTAGCCGGCATTAAAACTGGTGAGACCTCGGGAATATAAAAAACGCTTTTTGTACGCATACTGAGTTTTTACCACTAATTAGACCACTAAGCATAATGCAACTTAGAAAATACCTGAAGTGAAAATGTGATTTGGCTACTTCCTACCTTTTAAACTAAAGTTGACTCAGAAAAATTCTCTGTTACCATTGTATGTTTGATATGTTATAACATAGGAATATTATCTTATTAATTTGTTAATTAGATATATCACACAATGAAACAGTCTTATTTACTGGATGACATTTCGAGCAAAAATAATATGGAATTACTTACCACCACAGTGCCCAAGTTTTACACATATATTAAGAAGAATATTAGTTCGTGTTCAGTGAGTAATCCCTTTTAACTTAGTTTGTACTATAATTTTCATTCTAAAAGTACGTAGGATTTCTAAGTAAAACAAGTTGCTCAGTTGATTTGTAAGAAAGGGTATTTTACTTTATTGTTTTTTCTAGTTTTCACATCAAAATAAATATTTAAAAAATTGCTGTAACATTAACTGATGAGACTTACGAGTTCACCTTTAGTACAGACAAGTTAGTTATATTTTATTCAGTATGCAACAAAAGAAAAGTACACTAGTAATTAGTGCATAACGATCAATGGTTAGTCGAAAAACCTTCTTTTGTTCGTTTTTGTGGAAAAAGCACATGTCCCTTGAATCCTCTTTTCGGATTGCTGTTCAGTTTTTAGAGGTGAAATGGTTAGTCTCTTTAGTATATGAACATCTAAATATTTTGATAAGTTTCATTTTGCTGTCATTTATTTGGTAATGCTCACTAGTAGGATGTGAGACTTTAATTTCATCCTTTTACAAACTCTTCAAGTAAATTTTCTTTCATCACAGTGTGCGTTTATTGTACAGAACTACTAAACTCACAGTTAATCAGTTCAAGTGTCGAATATTGGTCAGCTTCTTACTGTGATCACAAAAGTTACCAAGGCTTAAAACTAAATGTAATAGTGCTCTGTGGAGCAATTCGCTCTGCTGTCAAATTATATATATATATATATATATATATATATATATAGACAGCAAGAGAGATGCGGACTCATAGGAAGCGATCAAAACTGAAATCGAAACTTCAAGTCAATGGTTACAGAGGTAGAAGTATTTATTCCTCAAATCTGGATCTAGTTTACTATGTGGACATGAAATAACCTCACTAGACAACTTGTTTAACCTTGGGTCACTTACCAACCAATCAGAACAATATATTCTCCTCTGACCTAGCCAACCTTTAATATAGTTAAGATTACATAAATATGATGTATTTTCCGTCAATAAAGGTCCGTTATCAAGTCTCTTATCTTCTCCCATTACATGTGGAACCATGGATGCACTGCTCACTTTTGGGGGTATCATCAAAGTAAGAAATACAGATGTAAGCTGAAAAGTCAGTGGTCGAAGATATTATTCAGTTGAGGTAATTAATTTGTATAGGCTTAGACTGATGAGATATGCGTTAACTATGCCTACTCACACTATGCAGTTCAGTATGCTATGTCAAACAGAATATAACCAGGTTCAAAGAAGATGAAGAGCAGCAGGATTGAGAAGAGGTGTCACTTTGTGAAAAAATACACCAATGACTTTAGCGATTTAGAAAAGCATCAGTTGTTTAGTTTGTATCTCAAGACAGCCGAAAATGATGGTTAAAGCCACTGTGTGATATAACTTTAAAAATTTTCATGATGCGATATATGCGTATTCATGCTTTTTATCACAATTTTTATTGTTTTCCACTTTCTTTACTTTGTTCTGTAACATTCTATGGATTTTGGTCTTATAAATTCCTTTTCATAATATGCTGTGTCCATATCTACCTGGCACACAGATGTAGATTGTCACAATGTGAACTACTGTGCAGTTATTCTAGGTTCCGTTTTGACAGCATGTATTGTTTGAAAATAATCTTATCAAAAATTAATACTGCGCTTGTCTAAATCACTATGACAGTCTCAAAACAGTCCTTTCTTTTGAATGAAATAAAAATGATGCTTTTGAGATTTCCTTCCAAGTATAAATATGCTAATTCATATGAGGAATTTTCAGCATATTTTGATATCTATTTGTCTTGTTCACTGCCTAGAATTAACAATTTAGTCAAAAGATTTCCCTGCACTCTTAGAAATTCGGAGTAACACCCATACTCGTTACATAGATAACTTAGATAAAGACTCATGCCATTTCATCTAGCCTCAGGTTGTAATTTCAATAGCTGACGATAGCACTGCAAAAGGGTTCAATATTTTTAATCGTAACGCAATACTAGACAATTATATATATATACTTCATTCCGCCAGCAGGTCAGCAGTGGTTCAGAAGCCAAGTATTAACCTCTCAAACTGTGATTTTGTATCATCTGTATTTAAACCTGTACAAAATTGTCAAATATTCCTATTCGACCTATGGTGACAAGAGGAAAACTAGATTTATTAACGAATCTTACCGCAGCCTCCAAACTTTCCAGTACCAAAATCAATCCATCTGATCTCCTCACAAACAGACTTAGGATCACAATTAAGAAAGTTAGGTGGTATTATTCAGAAAATAACTTCGCGTAAAAAAGTAGTTGTAATCACCTTTACCGCCTCTCTTTTTCTTCTTCTTCCCTTTCTTCTTTTCGAAAGCTGAAAGCAGGTAGTTCTTGTTTAAGTATTTTTTCCCCGTCAAAAATTCCTCCCAGTCAATACAGCCATCCGAATTTTTCTCATGTAAGGTTAATATTTTTTTAATAATATCTTCATTTATTGGTGCATTGAATGAAGCAATCACTGATGCAAACTCTTCTACTGGAATTCTTTTTATGAGTGGTTTTCTACTCTTAGAACGACTTGTACTACGATGCTTAGAACGTTTCCTTCGTCGACTAGTACTTCTTTTGGAATTTGATCGGTCAGATTGTAATTTAACCGATGCGTTATCACCAACCGCTGTGATTAAACTGTTTTCACTTGCTTGGAAATCATTTCTACTTCCCAAATCTTGTGAATCACTTATATTAGATTCTCTTGATTCACTTTTTACTTCTAATTCACTAGTTAATCTTTGTGCAATCTCAGTAAATCTTTCCCTAAGATCGCTTTCGTAAACAATAGACCAATCGTATAATCGTATTGCCCAAGATTCTGTATTTTTCACAGTTGTTCTACTTGTTAAACGTTCAAGTTTACGCAATTCTTTTACACACAATTTTTTACCTTCATCAGTAGCAATATTTCGTGGTAGTTTTCCATTTGTATTTTTTACTTTAGCATCACAACCTTTCAAAAATAAAATAAAAAACCATCATATTCATTTATTCGATAAGTGGTACAAATATCACTTGTTCTTATTTGTTATAAACCATAGAAAAGAAAACTAGTGTTCATACTTCTTATGTGTTTCTCTCAATCGTAGCATTTAACTGGATATATATTCCTTCCTTCGTATACTGTCGTATGAATTACTCCAGTAATAACTAGTGAATAAACAAAGTGTTTATACTTCCTCATAGCCAAAAAGTAACCACCTACTGCAGAGTTCTTATTAGAATACCTCTAAATTGATCACAACCAACATTGGTTTCACAGACCAGAATCCTAGACACGAATTAAATTTTTTAGGCACTGTGTCCCTAATAACATGAAATGTAACAGCAGCTACGGAAAACAGCTTCCTAAAAGAACTGTGAATTTTTGGTACGCTGGTAGTGTAGAGATCCACGTCACTTTGAGTATTCTACATGGAACATACTAACATACTACTGTTGTGATGAGAGCTGTCTGCTAGCCAAATTGGTAGACAGCAATTTACGTCGATGTTTACGTCCCAAATCTTGATCATGAGAAAAAACAAGAACAAAGACTAACTCAACTACCAATCACAGCAGACTTTGCGTGGGCGGATACGATTCGCAGATATATGGCCTGACCTTCAAAGAAACGGCCACAAAGAGATGACAGAATAACTTTCAGCGAGAAAACAACCAATCAGAAGACGCTGTTTCTCTCCTAATAATAACGAATAATAATGTACACAAAAATATATAAATATCTCTTGATTTCCTCAATAAACGATCTGTTGCCTGACTATTGTCTTTTGTCGTTACATTATGTCTCCCCAAAGGTCCTAGGATTTCTGAAAGCCATCTGACAAATAGATGCTATATGTACCTGGAAAGCCGACATTATCATTGGACGTAGTTTCTCATTACCAATCTACAGCCCAAAGAAGTAGTTCGTTTATTCAGTAAGTATATGGATGAAAGTAGCCTTAGTGTCGAGATACCAAGAGTTGCTACTGAAATTACTCACCGAATACATGAGTCACCTTCAAAAAAAATATCTACAAACAAAAAGATGGAGTAATAAACGCCACTGGTAATTTTCTTTATGTCCATTCTGAAAAAAAGGGATTTTGATGTTAATAATCGACAAATTCGTGTCCTATAAAGGGCATATCGACGAAACTTCTACAATTTCCCATCACAATTCTGATTTAAACTATGATTTACAAGTATTTGGTAGTTTCTATTCTTCACTTAGATATACTATAGAAGTAGAGAAATAATCAAAGATTCCATTTATTGATGCAGAAGCGATCATAAGAGATGATACAATCTTCTTAGAATATCCGCATAATTTGTATATTAGTATTTTTCTACTATAAACTGGTAGCCCGATAGTATAACGTGATTTATGAACTCTGACAGTATCGTGTGTTTAAGTGGGATTGCTAATTTCAGGCATTATATGGAACCATTATGACTCACGAATTATTAGGTGCATGGCGTCAATTCTGGACTTAGTAATACTGTCCATAACTACTTCTACAGGAATTTTACTTACTGAATTTATTTGAGAATTCCCTTACAAAATATATCAGCTACGATACTTTTGTTATGTATTCTATGTGTCTGAGACAAATATTTCTTGTTTATTTCCAGCTCTGCTTTCTTCTCTCGCTTCGGTACTGCTGTACTTTCTTTGCACACCAGGAAAGCAGTTGTGCTGATGACTGTACTTAATGCAATCTCTGCGAGAGAAGTTTTTTATTGGGGTGTTTTGATATATAAACGCATAGTAAGTACTGATTACATATAAAAGTATTAAGAAAAAAAATAAAATCCACTGAAATTTCACCTCTTTGCCCAAGAAATTTACAACACATTTCATCCACTGCAGCGGCCATATGTAATGCATTATTGCCATCAATGTCAACCTGTTTTAAATTTGTTACATTTTTGAAAAAAAGGCAAAATTTATTGTTAGGCACAACATTTCTAATTTAATAAACATAAATGAAGAAGTGTATGATTATGAATGAGGTGGATATACAATCACTTCTCCCTGTAAAACTTTAAAGATTAGAAAATATTCGATTCGATAGGAGGATAATTTGCTAGATGCTTAATCATATCTCCACAAAAAGTCTATAAGAGCTAATCAAATTTTGGAGTTTGCAACGCACACAGTCCAAGGTGAAATTTCACTACAGTTTTCTTTGGAAACTAAGAGCATTCAGATCATAATATGTGATCTGCTTGATACCATAAATGACAATCAAGAGAAAAGGAGTATGAATGAGTGACGCTATAAACTACTTATCGATGGACTTGAGTAGTTGAGCACCACTCACATACACAAGTTGTGTTTGCTAGAAAGATTGAAGTGATCTAAATACCAGACGTTTGTTTCACTCGTTTGAGGCCGAACTCATAAGCACTGCGCCCGGTTTGACTCGACTTGGCTAGTTAAAGCAGTTGAAACTATCAGAATTCTGGTTAGCCACTTTAGAGAACTGGTAAAACATCACAGGAAATTCGGGATTCACAATTTACGCAGTTCAAAGTGAATTTTCGCCACGATTAAGGTCACTTCGATCGGCTAGCAAACACTACTGATCTCTGTGAGTCGTACCCAACTACTCATATCAGTCAGTTAGTAGCATAGAGAGTGAAACATTTATATAAAAGATAATCTTGTGATGTATGTGTGGAAAAGTAATTGTAGGACAGGATGAAATAGATTTTAGGCCAACTCACTTAACACACTGTCACAAAGCCTATTTCATAAGTCATTTGCAAGTTAATTACACTCAGATTTAAAATGATACGGACAACGATTTTGGTGATGTAACAGTTTATAAACTGTAAAATACAGTCCCTAAAACGTTTAAAAGCGTTTCCGTGATAGGCTGAACAAGTGAGATAGATATTGAACATTGAAGAGGATTGATAGCCATATCGACCTAGTTTCAATCTGCTTATTAGTATGCATTAACGACGGGATTTAAAACCAAACGCAAGACGTCAGATAATGAACTAAGCACTCTTATGTGCTACCTGTAATTATATCATTATATTCTATTTTTTCTACTATCTCTTCTGTTTCCACATATATTTTTTTGATGATTTACTTAACTTTTAGAATTTGGAAAAACAAATACTTTATGATGTGAATAATGAATTTGAGAATATCAATTTTTCACCGGAGTCATATTCTGAATAATGTTCCTTTCACTATGTAGCTCTTTGACTCTCATTATTATCTTTATTCAAGTGGTAGATACTTCTAGTAGTGAATGATATAGTCAATCAGTATAGTTAAGAGGCTGGTTCAAAGTAGATAAATTACAGAAAAAGTGACAACATATGGGAATTGATATTAAGAGATATATTATTATTATTGTTCCCTTAGGTTCCTAGTGGAACATAGGGCTTCAACTGCACGTCTCCACTTGCTTCTGTCTTCTGCATCCATGTTATTCCATACTGTTTCAGCTCCTCTTCATACGATCTCCTCCATGTCACCCTTGGACATCCCACTCGCCGCTTCCCTTTCGGGTTCCACTCGAGCGATGGCCTGACGCGCGATGTCACCCAGCGGCCTCCTCAGCGAGTGTCCAATCCATCTCCACTTTCTCCTGCATATTTGTTGAGTGGTTGGTTCTTGTTTTGTTTGTTCCCATAGTTTCTTGTTGGTGATTCTTTCCGGCCATCTGATCTTCAGTATACAGCGAAGACAGTTGTTGATAAAGGTCTGCAACAGGCTGTTGGAAATATTCTTTGTGACCCGCCAAGTTTCTGATCCGTATAGAAAAACTGACTGACTTGACGTTTGTATTGAAAATCCGAATTTTGTTGTTGATGCTGAGTTGAGTGACGAAGATTTCCAGATTGGTTTCAGGTTGATGAATGTGTTTCTCGCCTTCCCGATTCTCGATTTGACATCCTCGTCCGTTCCTCCTGTAGTTGAGACAATGCTCCCTAGATAAGTAGTGAAAGAAGTAACCTCTTTCAAATCCCTCCCGTTGATGGTGATTGGCGCTGGATGTTGCTGCTGTTGCTGTTGTTGGTTGGTTGGTTATTTTCATAACCTCTGTCTTGTCTATGTTCACCTGGAGTCCTGTCTTTGCTGCTTCTTCGACCAATTTGTCGGTTTTCGCTTGTAAGTCTTCGATTTTGTGTGACATCGAACATAAATCATCCGCGAAATCCAGGTCTTCTAGGTTCTTCTTCTTCTTCAAAGTTCTGTCAAAAACTGGAATTACGGTAATAATAATAATTATTATTATTATAATGCAAGAGGCAAAGTGAAGCGGAATAAAAGTAACTAAAGGGGGTAAGTATTATTAAGACCAAAGTAAACAAATAAGTTTTGCATACAGATAGAAGGCTTTTCTGCATGTATGGCTAGTACTTGAACTATTCACACAGGATGAAAAAGTAGGCTTTTGCAGTAACTGAATTTAACTGTATGAAAAACCATAAACAGAAAAATCCTAGTGCACTATATGACCTGGTTGTAGAAGATTTTTACAAATAGAGTGTTAAGTTCATTTTTCGTTAACCGAAAGGAATAATGTTGTTTTTTTGCCACATTTGATTATCAATTTTTTTTATTTAAATAACTATTTCCATATTTCATCCACTTTAACCCCACCGGCTAACAATTATATCAATCAATTTTAGTAATATCTTTATTGCCTGAGCAGTTTTTAGTACCACTAACTGCCTTTTCACATGATGCATATGCGACTGTACCTTTTGGGAATGTATTCGTCGGAGAGAAATATTTCTTCGTTGATTAAATCTTTGTTCTCCTTAATGAATGAATAACAAAAGGAAGTTATAAATAACAAAAAAATTCTTATAGTAATATATACTATAGGCTCAGTGCCCAAATTTCCTTAAACCATTAAATTTGAACTTACTTTGGACATCTACAGCTTGAAAAATCAATTTATCACCTGTCAATTAAAACAATTTTACTTACATCATTAAAATCAAAGCCAAAAGCAGAGAGTACAAAAAGTACTTTTAAATGACCATTTTTAGCAGCTAAGTGTGCTCCAGTTTGTTTTCTACTATCGAAGGCATTGAGATCAGCTCCAGCTCGTAATGCTGCAGCAACTACTTTACTATTACCTGATCCACAGGCTTCAATGAATGGAGTTCTTCCGTTTTTCTAAAAATGTGATGAAAGTAAACTAGCATGTTACAGTTTACTAATAGGAGAAATATTTGTTTGAGTATTTTACTAATTATGAACAGATCATATTGTGGTGAGTGCTTCTGATAAGATTTATCAGTAGTATATGAAAAGACGTTCATCGGCTTAAAAAACATCAAATAGCAAGGAGATACATTTGATGTTAGAGAAAGCAAATGGTACAGTGCTGTGGAGATACATGGGAGACGTGAAAGGAACACAAAGAAACACAATATGAAGAAGGCGAGATGTACCTCAACACGAAGATTTGTGCAAATTGTGCGTTGAAGATAAGGAGTACATAATTTGGCTATATAGAGATATCGATTTCCAAATAAACATTCCTTGACCAAGTTTTCGCCTTCTACAGTTACAATACTGCTTTAATAATTTCTGAAGTGATTTTAAAATATCACTTACCATTTAGTTCTACTTCTCATAGCTTTTAAAATTGGCTAACATTACTTCAAGTACATTTCAAGCATTACCTTTTTACTAATTTATTTTCGAAAAACTATTTTAATAGTTGGATATATTTTGCTTTATATTTCCATTCAAATTTTTAACCCTGTGTACAGCCATTCGAAATAATTTGAGGAACTTATAAACACTTCTACGTAACGAAGGAATTATATAATCAAACAGGAATAAATACTTAAATGCTAGTCTACTTCGTAAAAGATTTAATGCTTTCATTAAAATTCACTGATTGTTCACCGCAGTCATCTATTCAGATTGCAAACACTTTTGTTAATCATTTTCAAAGTCATCAGAAACAGTTTATAGATTACTTTTAACAACTCCTTTATTTCCAATATTTGATGACAAACTGTCACATTACTTCACGCTGAATGAGCCATTGAATGGGTCCAGTGGCTGAATGGTATACGAGCTTGCCTTGTAACCGGAAGGTCATGGTTCGAACCAAGTGGGTGCGTACTGCCGATGATTCCAACAAGATGAAACAGCAGCTGTCCAGTACTCCCTGGTTTTCAATGGTTCTCTAAGTGATATCAGTCGTGATCAATCGTAAAATAACTAACTTACACACCTGAAATGAAATTATATAGTCAAATAGGTAACTGAAGAACCAATCTAATGTTATGCATTCATGTAGAATTCATCCTCTGAAAATAGGGTAGCTTATGACAAAAATGATAATATTTGTCATTGACAGTATTCAGTTTATTAGAAATTATATTCAGTCACTTTGCGCATAATGAAACAAAAAGCTGACGTTATCAAATATGATAAGTTATTGCTTCAAAGTGAATTCTTAGTTTCTGGATGTCGTATGTGATGATGAAACCAATTTGTAAATCTTCTACACTCAGCACAAGGAACAAGATTCACATAATCAACACAAATGTCAAGTCGGTCAGTTATTCTATATGGGTCAGTAACTTGCACTGCGTTTCACGAAAAGGATTTCCAACAGGCTACAGCAGACATTCATTAACAGCTGCCCTCCTCGCTGGTTCCATATTGAAGATCAAATGGCCAGAAAGAATAAGTAACAAGAAATTGTGGGAACAAACCAACCAAGAGCCGACTGCTCAACAAATATGTAGGAGAAAATGGAGATGGATCGGGCATACATTGAGGAAACCATCGAATGACATCGCGCGCAATGCAAGCCGTTGCTCGAGTGGAGTCCAAATGGGAAGCGACGAGTGGGTGGTCCGAGGATGAAATGGAGGAGATCGTGTGGCGAGGAGGAAATGAGAGAGTGTCGTCAATCGTGGACCCAGATGAAGAGGACGGCAGGAAATAGAAGAAAGTGGAGATGTGTTGTTGAAGCTCTACGTTCCACTCGGAACCCAAGGGAAAAATAATAATAATGTGATGAATTGCAATGTTTTAAATTGTGATAAGATTCCGTTTGGTTTTTGTCTACCAAATCTTTAGCCATTCATACATTATAATCCATAATAATTTGTGTATAAGTTATATCACACTGTGAAACAGTATTATTTACTTATTAACGTTTGGAACACAATTCACCGTTCAAAATCATACCAGTTATAACCCAATTTCTCAGTACTAATAAAATCTGAGTGAAATCAATGATGAATCGTCCCATTCCAGTACTATAAATACAGATGTGTTTATCATTGTGAACCGATTTAATTATAAAGATCTGCTTTGTTTAAACCTCACTACCTGGGTTTTATCATGATCATACCTTGTGAGCTTTAGGTCTCATGCTAAGCACATTTCTTTTAATCAAAACTTTCTGCCTTACAGGTTCAGGGACTTGGCACGTAAGTTACTAAAATAGTTCTCAACAGACTGCAGACTTTCATCAACATTTGTCCACTCTGTTCGATACTAAAGATTGGCCTGCCATCTGCGAAAGATAAGCAACCGAGAACTATGGAAACAAACAAACGAAGGGCCTAACTCCCTACAAATATGCAGAAGAAAATGGAGATGTATTGGACATACACCGAGGAGACCACTGAATGACACCAGGCTCTCAAGTTCAACCCTAATGGGAAGTTGAGCGTCTGAGCATGACATGAAGGAGATCGTATGGAGAAGGAATGAAAGAGTGTGGACAGTTGCAGAATCATTTTAATGTAACGGTAGACAACTGAGTCCTGTAGAATTGTGTCGCTGAAGTCCTATGTTCCACCGGCAATAAAAGAGACGAACAATAATAATTCAAGTGTAAATTGATTTTCTTCCTTCTTCGTGCAAAGATAACTGATAACCGACTTAAAAATTAGGAGTCTCAAACTATGATGAGACACTTATCTCATGCTTTGTGTTTTCAGAGAAATAAATTTGATTCTACTTTAAAATCAAACATATCCCAGTATCTCAATGACAAAGTTTGCATTTATCTACGTGTCAATTAAAAAGCCGACAAACTCAGTGAGATTCCTCATCTGTATTGCGGAAGCCTTAGAAACCGAGATAGAAAACCGGAGATTTGTATACAGAATAAACTTGTTCAATCTCTTCTTTTTTGTTTTTAATATATATATATATATATATATAAATTATTAATGAGAAATATCTTTCAAAAGTCCCTCTACTTTTACTCGACTTAGTGCTATCCTCTTCGCTTTGTTTGTGTCTTCGTCTTGTATTTTCATTGGACACTAGTAACTAGTTTGACGTGTCTAGTCCTTTCTTTGGTGCAGACTGAATTCTATCAGTCAGGTTTGCAATGTGGCCACCATTCTAAATAGCTCGCCATCACGGTGCACATTGATTTGATGATGTTAGATAGTTGGAGGCAATCGGCAGGAAGCCTTGCGCCTAGGAGGTCAATCGCGTGCCCGAATAGCTCAGTGGTAACGTCTCTGACTGCAGCACTGGGTGACGCGGGTTCAAATCTCAGAAGGGACAAAGAGTTCCTTCAAGGTTGTAGATACGCCTTGCTGACTAGTGTCAAATAGCACGAAACCTAGGTTCAAGGCTTCCTGCCGATTGCCTCCAACTATCTAACGTCTTCGTCTTGTTCTTGTCATTTGTATAACAGAGAAACCGATCAACAGTTTCCTCTATGACTTACATCAAGCAGTCTATATGCAGATGGAAAATGACCAATTCTACCCTCCACATAACCAACGAGAAAGATGAAAATTCCTACAGCCGGCTTATATCAAGTAAATAAGAGACTAATATATACACAGGTGACTCATTAATATTCATTATTTATTTCCCACACTTGCATAATCATTGATTTCCCGCATCTGCATGATTATTGATTTTAATTACTGAATTCCCATGGTTTGTTAATATTTTTAAAATGTGACATTGATTTTCCTAACTGTATAAATACGGAGTTTTTGTTTAACATTTCGACTGCTGTTAGAGACAGTAAAAGCTCTCGTATCAACGTCCAGTCTTCTTTCTTTGCCTTGCGTGCCCGGCGGTATTGTTGTTGTTGTTGACGTGCGATTAGGACAGATTAGCCAGCGCATTAGTTAGATTCGCTCGTAGTCTACAAGGTCCTAATATCTCATACATAACAGAGACGGCTATTGTGATCCTGTAGCTTGTTGAAAAGTGTCCTGAAATCTACAATAACGAGTGTTTAAATGCAATTTCACTAACACCTGCAAACACCTCTAGCTTCTAAATCTTAAATAAAACATGTTTTTTACTGTCAGAAATCTTCACATGTACAATAAACTGAGGCACTTATACATTTTGGTAATGTGTAATGTCGAACAATTTTTGTGATACAGTTAAGCTAATACACCTCATGAGTAATCATAGAAGAAATCTGTTGAAGATGCTGTGTCTTAGACAACGAAACGTACGAAAAAGCCTTGTTTTGATACTTTTAAATATTCTGTGAGAAGTTTTATAAAGATTTAATTTGAGTCCGCCCTTAAATTTTTGAGGCAATCGTAGGGATTTAAATGTTTGTCAAAATCCAAAAAACGTTAGAATTAGGGAGAATTAGCCTTCACAATAAATACCGTTAAGTATACAAATCAAATTAATTTTATTACAGAAAAGTTACAGTGTTAAAGATCTAAGTCAATTACTTACAGAACGAATGTTTGGATTGGCACCATTATCCAGTAATTCAAGAATAAACTTCTCATTTTCAACCGACTTTTTACATGCACTGTACAATGCTGTTTGTCCATTAACATCCTGTTTATCAATTAGCATATTTTTATCCAATATTAAATTAAGACATTTAAAATGCGAGTTTGTCGGTGATATGCAGTAAAATAAAGCATCTGAAATTATTATAATTATTATTTCCATTAATTCAAACAAATTAGAATTACTCTTTTCATTGAAGTCACTTGCATTCTTGTTAGCGCCTTTATCTAATAATATCTTTACAATTTTATCATTTCCAATTTCAATTGCTGTCATCAAAGCTGTTTTACCATCGAAATCTACTATATCTGTACATGCACCGAGAGAGAAAAGTAGCTAAAAAGATTAACTATCTTCATATTATGCCTTACTTGAATCATTTGAATATCATCAGATTTGACAGCAGAAATTACCGCTGTCAGTCCATTATCTGGATCATTGTAATTGATAATATTTGGTACTCCATGTTCAACCAACTTTCTTATCTGATCCACATCTTTATTATTTACACACTGAAGAAGTTTTTTCAATTGTAAACGTTCTAGTCGAGAATTAGCTATTGGCATAAGTGTTTCTTTGCGGTTGATTGAGTGTATGATAACAAAGATGCGTAAGCTTGGAACAGATGAATAGTAATCAGTACAAATTTACATCTGAAATAAAATAATTATCATAAAATGAAGTGTGAAGTAATTTGATTATTAAAAAAGATGACAAGTATAAAACCTATGGTCAGCTAAACACAGACGAATAAGATTACTTTCAATAATACTAACTATAAATCGTAAATGTCTTCTTTCTTCAGTGCATTGCAAATGAATACGAGTAGAATGAATGAATTTGGACTAATTGGTAAGCTAAATTTTCGTACAAATTGGTTGAAATTCTTATTTTCCTTGTTATTAATGACTATTTTTCATAATTTGATCGTATAAGTAAACATTTTTCATATATAAAATAGCATAACACATGGTAATATAATATAATTTTTAGCATTATACTGGTATAAAGAATTTAACTAATATAGAGAATTAAACGCTTTCACGAGATAAATAAAGCCTATTCTTATAACAGTTTAATAACAGCATATTTCACATAAATTAAATGCACAGAGGTATCACAGATTATCAAGATAAACTAAATTAACTATGTTGCTAGCAAAAATTAACAAAAATCGCTAATGTATTTTGTTACCTACATCTAAGATTATCTAGAGCAATAAAACGGATTTATACTGCCGCCACCCTTTGTTTGTTATTTTCCAGCGGATCAGTTATGATTGCTCAAGCGAAAGGGAAGCTGCCTAGCTGTACCACTTCTATGTGCATTTACAAATTTAGTTACTCTTGCGAACAAAGATATATAGGGCGAACAACTAGACAGCTCAACAAACCTATTACTGAGCATCATCCTTCATGGTTCGGAAAAGGCCAAGTAAAATCTATAAGAAGTCCTATTTTGCCTCATTTGAATGACTACGGTTACTAAGTGAACAGAAGAAGTACCCTCGAAGTTATCAATCGCATTCAATGGAACCTTTCGAACAAAATTTGACCCGCTTTTCAAACATGGCTGGAACCATGGGCATTTGAGAGAACAATCCTAGTCTTTGCATACAAAAGAAGTTTGTTCTACCTTTGTCTCTCTCTTGGCTTAGGCAAATTTTGGTGAGTCTATGAAACCAACGGGTACCAAAACTTCATATCTTTACGGTCTACCCAAAGTGCGCAAACCGGGTCTTCCTCTTCGCCCTGTTTTGGATATGTATAACTCTCCATTTCACAGAAGAGCAAAGTGGTTAGTGAATATTCTGGGACCTTAGTAGAAAGAAATTATGCGACAAAGAATTAATGATATCTCTGACTTCCCTTCTAAAATATCCGAGACTAACTTTACTGATAAACTTATGTTATCCATGGATGTATCATCACTATTCACGAATGTACCACTTATAGTAAAGGTAGATTATATCTCCCAAGAAATCCCCGAAAGGCAAATGAACTTAAGAATTCCCCTGTGTAGCTTCAAAGAATTACTGCTTAAATGCACAATGAATGTAAATTTTTCATATTACCGAGAAGTAGATGGAGTAGCTATGGGTTCACCATTAGGCCCAATATAAGCTGACTTCTTCCTCGCAAAACTTGAAAACGGGAGATTGAAAGATGTCATCAAGGAGCTGAATACGTATTACCGTTCTGTCGACGAAACATTTATCTTAGTTGGTGGGAATGCAAACAGAGACGAATCGCTGACGAAATTCAACAACATCCACCCTTCGTTTACTTTTACTTGTGAAGAGGAGCAGGACAGTAAACTTCACTTTCAGGACGTCTTGCTAAGTAAGCGAGAAGATGGGTCACTTGGGAGAAGTGTGTATAGAAAAAGCACATTCACGGGGCAATACACACACTTCTCTGGTTACGTGTACATTAAATATAAAGATGTTAAATATCTTACGAGCAGAGCAAGAAAGATATTTATGGATGGCCACTTACAAAAGGAATTTGAATATATTCATGATTCCTTGACGGAGATTGGCTATCCGAGTAGTTTCATAAATAAACAATTGAAAACATTGGAAAGAAAACTCGAGACTACGACTGCAGGCAGAAAACCTCTATTTATTAGATTACAATTTAATGGTGAATTGTCAGGTGAGATTTTATTCCAGAGACCTTCCAGAAGTACACGAAGAACGTTTTACGCGGCAAACCTATGTTTGTCATTCTCTAGCTGACGAATGATTTGGAAGCAAAAGAAGGATAGATAGCAAGATAGTTTTGCCACATCTGTGTGTATTTATCGGTTCAACTGCATCTGCAGTGACAGTTATGTTGGGCGTACTACTAGACAGCTTAGCCAACGTGTTACTGAACATCTCCCATCGTGGTTTGGCGAAAGACAGACACAAGCAATCGTTTGCTCCATCTTGTCACACTTAGTTGATAGTGGTCATGTAGTGGAGAAAACGAAAGCTTTCAAGGTAATTCATCATATCCCACCGAATCTTTCCAGTGGACTTCGTATTCGTCTACTGCACACAGCTGAGGCGATAGGCATTCGAAATATTAAGCCTAAACTATGCATTCAAAAGGAATTCCTACAGCCATTATCCTGACTTGGCCTACTAAGACCTAACCAACTGATGACTTCTCCACCACCCCTTACTTATATTTACAGCCCCTCTCTTATCATCCCTCAATCTTTTCACATCTTCATTAAAACGTATTTCATTTACTTCCTTTGCAATCAGCCATTATGTAATCGGTCCATTTGTTTTTCCTAGCCCTTGTCGGCTACCTCTAACCGAACATTTGTTCGCTTAATCATGCTGTTTTTTTTGTTATTCTTGTTATCACAGAACTTTTTATCGATAGAACTATTATTGTTACTATTACTATGACTAGTTGCGCAATTTATATGCACAATCTTATTATTCTATTGACAAAACACCGTGAATGGTTTATATTTGAACATTTATTTGTAAAGTTATGTATGTTAGAGTTAGGCCTGATGAGATCTAATTGAAAACAATATTGTTCTCTTATATGTCTTGTTCTAATACTACCATGATTGTTTTAATTCATAGATATACTTAAATATAGTCCTCGGAAAATCCTATGTTGACTGTATATAAAAGTTATAAGTTTCCAAACCGTAGATGTTACGAACTTCCTGGAATAATTTGACCGCCGAGTCAGATTGATTCATTATAAATTGCTTAAATTAGTGCCAGCGTGTTTAAGAAAAAATCTTGTTTTGATTTTTTCTTAAACACGCTGGGATTTATATATAAAAGTGTAATATAAGTGATGGGAATGTAACTTTACATTGAGAAATATCGTCATCTCACAAGTTAAAATCAAGTTTTCTGATAAATACACTTGAGTTGAGCACTTTTGTTTATTATTTCTAATTACAGAGTTCACACTAAACCATTTTTTTGTTTCTTTTCAGATGAATGAAGTGGAAATTTAATATTCTATTTGTGTGTGTATTTAAGTTAGGATGATTTCGTGAATTTTTTTTAATCCTTTTAAAAGTGCACAGGCAATATGAATAGTTGACACATAACTCATTTGATGATATTAGATGGTTGGAGGCAATCGTCAGGAAGCCTTGAACCTAGGTTTCGTGCTATTTGACACTAATCAGTAAGGCGTATCTGCAACCTCGAAGGGAATTATGTCCCTTCTGAGATACGAACCCGCATCACCCAGTGCTGCAGTCAGAGACGTTACCACTGAGCTATTCGGGTTCGCGATTGACCTCCTTCCTGTAGGACTGTATTGGATACTTTGATTGGACACTAGTAACTAATGTGATGTGCCTAGTCCTTTGTTTGGTTCAGACTGAATTCTATTAGTCAGGTTTGCAATGTGGACACCATTCTAGGTAACTCGCCATCCAACTGTAGCACTGAGTAGCGCGGGTTCGAATCTCAGAAGAGACATGAGTCCCCTCAAGGTTGCAGATATGCTTTGCTGACTGGTGAGTCCTAACTAGCATGAAAACTAGGTCCAAGGCTTCCTGCCAATTGCTCCTGACCATCTAATATCTACAATTTAAAGTGCACCGTGATGGTGAGCTACCTAGAATGGTGGCCACATTGTAAACCTGACTGATAGAATTCAGTCTGAACCAAAGATAGGACTAGACACGTCGCACTAGTTACTAGTGTCCAATCAAAACATAACTCATTTGTTTGCACCCCTGATAAGCTACCACTTATAATGTAGTAAGGTTCCTTATATCTAACTGCAAATACCAGCCGTTTAATTTATTAAGACACAATCCTATAACAAGATACACTTTCGGTTCGCACAGGTCTGCAAAATGTCATTAGTGTGATAACTAAGGAACTCTAGAATATCTTATAAGGATTTTAATAGCCAAATTTCTCTCCAGATCCTTCATAAACAAATCTAAAACCTTTAGCATTTATAGGAGGGTACCATTATTTCAAATGTTGTCATCTGTTGCACAAATGATTGACGGAATACGTTTGAACCGAAGACTGTTACTAAGCAGTAGCTATTATATTCATTCAGACATCTTCATGTTAATTGTCGCTGGCACTTGTATCTGGCTGTTAACTGTGTAAAAACCAGGTGTTCAGTTTTAACAAGACAAATTGTTTTTTTTTGAATCAACAGTGATTATGATTTATCTGTTAGACTGTCAAATGTTTAAGATTGTCAACTTTGCAATCAAAAGAATGATTCCGTTAGATTTTGTTTTCTCCTCATAAATCTTTGAATTACAGAAACAGTTTGTCTTTTATAGGATTTCGTTCAATTTCATAATACTGATACTCTTACATATATTCACTGAATAAAAGGGCTAGTACACCAATGCGCTTTTGACTGACATAAACTAATATAGCTGCATGTAAATAGACAGCGTAAAAGTGATACCCCACTATGATCATGTTTGGCTAACTGTTTTACAGCAAGCTCAGAAAACTCCGTAATGTCGAATAAAGTCATTGAACCTCATTTTCCTAAAAGACGCGTTGGTTATACTTCCAATTTTTATGAAGCAAACTAGGATCTTGAAAACTTGTTTCACAGCTTCGGTGGTGATTAACTACCAACCAACTTTATGCTAGAGACAGAACCAACTTCAATGTGTTTTTTTAATGCTTTGATATTCAATCTATCACAAAGGAAAATAAGTTACTGCAGTCAGCTACTTAAAAAAACAAGCGCGACGGGTAGTCTAATGATTTACAAATTTATCTGAAAAACTCGACTCCCTGAATGATTGAAACATATGCACGGAAAACAACGCTAAAAGGAATCGCGAAATCCACGAAGACATTAA